CTGAAACTTAAACTACTGTATCAACAATGCATAATTACATTCTATTTTCAGATGTTACGGTGAGCTAGAATAACAGCAGTTCCGATTACTATTACAACACCAACAAATCAGACATTTCGGACAATTAAAAATCAGTACTGTTATTGCAACAATACATATATATGAATAGTGACTAATCCCTTGATTGACGCAATGTGACGATTTAACTCCTTTATATGTGTAACCTTTTACATTTATACAGGGCGTCAAATAGGTCTGTTCTCCCCCTTAACTTTTTTAATTCAGAGAATCACACACCAAATTTCAGAGTGATTGGTTCAATTCAAAATTTTTTAGAGTATTTTTAGCGATGTCCATATTTAACTTTTTTAATCGTCTGTATGTCTCCCCCAGCAGCCCGGATGGCCTCAATTCTACGAGGATATGATCCTGTATAAATCATTCAGAACGTTTAATTTTAGGTGTTATCAACTATTTTATGATGAAAGATGCCCCTGCTTCAAAGGCTCCCCTGAATGTAACACATTTTACTCTGTAATGATATTGAGAAACATCGAAATCACCCAATGTTGGTATTATCACTGCAGTATCAACTTTTCACTTTTGATTCACTATACCTGGTAATTTTACTACAACCTTACAAGAAACATTGTAGCAATTTTAATAGGAGGGGTTTATGATTGATTTTTTGAGGGTGATCAGCATTTTCCATGAGCTTCAAAATGATATATGGGAAAGTATGATATATTTAAAGATAAAAAAGTTAAGGGGGAGAACATACTTACATACCCTGTACAGGGTGACCCTCAAATTTGGAATAAACTTTTGGTCCTCTACTACAATTTTTGTGAAATATGTTTTTTTAATTTATTACGTACTCTCCTAGTTATGTTTAATAAGTGGTATATGCACTTTTTCCTGAGTTTTAATGCATAATGAACCCACTGCCGAGAGTTAACATAAGTATCCTCACAAATAACAGTCATTATCATAGAAAATTAACAACATATGTATGAAATGTAAATACAAATGACTTAAAGACCCATGAAGAATAGAAAAAATCATATTTTTAGATATATTTGTAACAGTTTGGGATATATTTTTAACGGTTTATTTATTTTAAATTGCATTGCTATAGTTCGTGCGTAACACATACACTCCCCTCCATAAGTTTGGCAACCTTTTTCCCCCCATTGAACTACGTGTTAAAGCCTCTTTACCTTTGAATTTTTATTTACGTAACCTGCGATGAAAATACTTAATCTATTGATAGAAACGTAATTTGACTTTAATTCCAATACCTCCAAATTTTTTCAATTTTTTTCCTCAATTACAATAGGTCGAAAATTGATGATAAATTTGATGAATTTTTGAAAATCGACATTCCCATGTTAACCAATGGGAAATGGTAGGTTTGCCGCAAGTCATATGACAGAATATCTATCCATCTGAGTCCTTGCAAAAATACGTGTTATGCAGGAAATTGAATTTGCTAACTTTATGTAACAAAAAATTGATATGTTTCTTCAGGTTCAACAAAGTTATAGGGCTTAAAGTCAAAATTGTTTTTCAAAAAACCTCTCCCATTGAAATAACACAGGAGGCGATAAATTATTTTCAAAATGACTTTGAAGCGCTGTAACTTTAATATTCATCAAATAAACTAAACACTTATTGTTCAAATAGTTAGACAATTCAATTTTCTATATAAAATCTTTTACTGAAAAGATATCCTGATTTCTGATTTGCCCCGAACCCTTCATTTCCCATTGGATTACATGGGAATGACGATTTTCAAAAATTCATCAAATTTATCATCAATTTTCGACCTATTGTAATTGAGGAAAAAATTGAGAAAATTTGGAGGTATTGGAAATAAAGTCAAGTTACGTTTCCATCAATATTATAAGTTATAACATACCTATGATGATGTATAGTGCAAAGTGTACACAAGACAGCGGGCCAATATAAGTTTTGAAAAGCCCGCGCCCGCTAACTTTCTGATTGGTCAAGGCGCTGACGTCACAACCAATCAATCGAAGATAAAACTGCGCGAGCAATTTTTCTAAACTCTTTTCAATCATTTTCAAACCATTTGTTTGTCAATTCTATAAGAAAACGGTACTCTCTGACCAGTCCACATCATCATAGGTATGTTATAAATCGTTTATGTCACTATCGTGGCACATATGCCCTCGGTTCTCAGAGATCAATGTCCCTCCCAAGGTCGGGCCATATATCACTGAGACCTCGGGCATATATGCCACGATAGTGACATAACCTCTAATTATTTCATCGTCGGTTAAGTAAATAAAAATTTAAACGTGAAGAGGCTTTAACACGTAGTTCAATGGGGAAAAAGGTTACCAAACTTATGGAGGGGAGTGTACGTACTGTAATTACCAGTTTGTTCGGAACTTATTGTTAACAGACTTACTGCAAAGCAACAACAAGGCATTAACATGACAAAATGTCACCACCTAAAACAATTTGGTCAATTTAAAGCAAGTTGAAAAAATACCTCTTTGACTTTTTTTTGACATTGAGAAGGTCATTGAAGGTCAAATGTCAAATGTAAAGTCAGATTTGAACTTCTGAGAACATGTAGATGATTTTGAAAAAAAATTAAGTAAATTTGAAGCAAGTTGAAAAAAGACCTTTTTGACCTTAAAAAGGTCATTGAAGGTCAAATGTCAAATCTAAAGTCAGATTTGAACTTCTGAGAACATGTAGATGATTTTGAAAAAAAATTAGTCAATTTGAAGCAAGTTGAAAAAATACCTTTTTTGACCTTGAGAAGGTCATTAAAGGTCAAATGTCAAATCTAAAGTCAGATTTGAATTTCTGAGAACATGTAGATGATTTTGAAAAAAAAATTTGTCAATTTGAAGCAAGTTGAAAAAAGACCTTTTTGACCTTTTTTGACCTTGAGAAGGTCATTGAAGGTCAAATGTCAAATCTAAAGTCAAATCTAAAGTCAAATCTAAAGTCATATTTGAATTTCTGAGAACATGTAGATGATTTTGAAAAAAAAATTTAGTCAATTTGAAGCAAGATGAAAAAATACCTTTTTGACCTTTTTTGACATTGAGAAGGTCATTGAAGGTCAAATGTCAAATCTAAAGTCAGATTTGAATTTCTGAGAACATGTAGATGATTTTGAAAAAAAGATTTAGTCAATTTGAAGCAAGTTGAAAAAAGACCTTTTTGACCTTTTTTGACTTTGAGAAGGTCATTGAAGGTCAAATGTCAAATCTTATGTCAAATCTAAAGTCAGATTTGAATTTCTGAGAACACGTAGATGATTTTGAAATTTTTTTTTAGTCAATTTGAAGCAAGTTGAAAACAGACCTTTTTGACCTTTTTTGACCTTGAGAAGGTCATTGAAGGTCAAATGTCAAATCTTAAGTCAGATTTGAATTTCTGAGAACACGTAGATGATTTTGAAAAAAAATTTTAGTCAATTTGAAGCAAGTTGAAAACAGACCTTTTTGACCTTTTTTGACCTTGAGAAGGTCATTGAAGGTCAAATGTCCAATCTAAAGTTAGATTTGAAGGTCAAATGTCAAATCTAAAGTCAGATTTGAATTTCTGAGAACATGTAGATGATTTTGAAAAAAAATTTAGTCAATGTGAAGCAAGTTGAAAAAAGACCTTTTTGACCTTGAGAAGGTCATTAAAGGTCAAATGTCAAATCTAAAGTCAGATTTGAACTTCTGAGAACATGTAGATGATTTAGAAAAAAATTGAAGTCAATCTAAACAGTATTTGTTAAGTTATAGGAAGTTGTAAGAAATTGTTACAGACGCCGGACGCCGGACGCCAACCTCCAACCACCAACCGCCAACCACCAACCACCAACCCCAACCACCAACCGCCGTCGCAAAAAAACGGAGACCATAACAATATGTCACCACTTTTGGTGGTGACATAAAAATTACAATATCCGAGGACGCCTATTAATATGATATGTCTGCCCCGATTTTCAGATTCACTTTAAGCATGCAAACGGAGATTCTGTTGATTTTGCCCAGCCTGGACGAAAAACTATATTCTAGGCCCTGCTTACTATTGAAAATACAACTTGCCTATATGCCTTAAACACGTCCAAGTATGGGATAAACCTACATCTCTCTCGATCCACCAGACTTTCCATAGCACCAGGCAAAACCAAATTCGAATGGGATATATTGACGGAGGTATAAAACATACCATAAACCAATATTCAGTTTCCGGCAAGGGAATACGCTTTATGTACCATATCCATACAATATCATATCCAATGCTGTCGATTGTATCTTTTACCATTTTTAATATCACGTGAAAAACTTATACTTTGGAAAAAGGCAGAAATCAATTAACATAAGTTAGGAGTTACGAGACAACTACACATCTCGGCGAACCTTCTATTGATTCCTCTTTTTAATGACCCCGTTACAGAATAAAGGTCAATCGGGATAACGAATGACTCCGTCCCTAAAACGCAACTTCAATTAGCCAATTCAAGCTAAAAGATGCAAAACCCGAAAAAACAGATTTTTTATTCAAATTCAGCCTGGAAAAACGGATTCTATTTAAATTCAGCCCGAGAAACACCGGTATTTTTTACTAAAACCTGAACCCGGTGTAAAAGAAATTATGGTCCCCTGGGGATTATGGTCCCCTTTCTTAAAGGCCCTTACTGACCCTGATTGATGATACATGTACGATAATAAGGGAAAGAGTTGTATTTAGCTCACCATATAAATCAATGGAAAGTAGGACCATAATTTGATAGGACCTCCTACATGTACCCTTTTACACCGGATTATCCTGGAATCTTTTTTATGCAACCCGGATTTTTAAAATCAGGCTGAAATTTTGCAATTTTTAACTTGAGAAGTATTAATACAGTTATTAATCTTTAACTCAGGTATCATGGGTCTCGGTGTGACTGATAAAGAAGCATGTAGTCTAAAGACAATGGTTATTATCGTGTACCTATAATTAAACAATCATGACCTTGGGGTCATCTTTGACAATTATCTATTTAAAGGTATGCAATATTAAGATTTTAGACTACTTAAACAAAATGCAATACTATCAATTAACGAAATTGTGGTTTGCTGTGATTGTGTCATGTTTTTATATTAGCTATATTGATGGAATACACGATCGTCACATTCATTACAACATTAACAAATGGACAGCACACGACCATGGAAATACATCTTCTGATATTACAGAGGGCAATTGTACCATGGATATGTTTAAAGGGGATACTAACAACAATGCCTACTGGGCTTGTCTCACCCAACTGGCCTTACAAAGGAACTGGTTCCCCGACCCCATCAATGGACTCTTCAGCTACCAAACGTGGAATGGCTTCGATGGATTCTGGCAAAACGGAGCTGTGCTAGAGCCAATGGTGAATTATATGAACTACACCAACAGTACTCGGTATCTTAGTGTCATAAGGAACTCATGGCGTGGACTTGAGAGTTTATTACTTGGGTATGCCCCGTATCCATCATTTGATGACATGGCGTGGTTTGGTATGAGCTATACGAGGATATATGAGCAACTTGGAGATGTTGACTTTCTCAATACGGCCATGGACATCTATAACTGGACTTGGACCACCGGCTGGGATCACACTGGCAACTGTAGCGGAGGATTCTACTGGGATAATACATTCGCTTCCAAACAGACTATCACAAATGTCGAGATGCTTGTGCTTGGGGCTCGCCTGTTCAGACTTAAAGGCGGCAATGATACCGTCCTGTGGAGCCGCTTGATTGAAACATGGAAGTTCATCGAAGTGAACAATCTCATTAACTCTTCAACTTTCCTCATAGCTGATGGCATATTTGACAACAATTGCTCCAGTAACTATGCCTATAAGCCCACCTACAACAATGGGGTACTTATTGGTGGTTTAGTGGAACTCTGGAGGATTATCAACAACGATGACTTGTTGGAACTTGCACACAAAGTGGCCAATGCCACAATGGTGTTAAAATCCAACAATAGCATACTGACAGAGTGGTGTGATTTCACGGGCTGTGATGATGATGCGTTGATGTATAAAGGACTGTTTGTAAGGAACTTACGCTACCTCATGGATGTATCAAACTCCACAAAGAGAGAGTTCTACAATAACTGGCTCCAAAGAAACATTGATGGGATTCTGGCTAACAATACATGTAGGAAACCCCTGGTTGACTGCAAGATAGTATATAGGGATGGTTCTCCCTTTAACGATGCAACTGGGCCAGTATTTGGTACAAACTGGCATGGGCCGTACAACTTCTCGGCCCCAATGCAACAAACTGGCGTACTGGAGATATTCCTAAGTGCCACGGTGCCAGGGGTACAGTGTATGGGTCAAGGATGTAGCTATGACCCACCTGTTCCACCAGCCAAACACCTCACGTGTGATGACAAGCCATGTCCCCCTGGGGAACCATGCTGTAAATACAATGGGGCTTATACATGTTGTGACACGACACAAAAATGCATTAACAGTGTTTGCACATAATATATAGAGGGTGGGCCATCGATTTTTAAAATATTTATGATCATCATGGGCCAATAGATGAAGCATGTATAACATGACAAAAGATAGGGACTTGCTATTCATATAAAGGTTGTTCTCATCGTGATTGGCAAGCCTTTATATTTTCTTAGCACTCACAGAACAATGATAGACCATTCGGTCTACAGAGTGGGCCAAAAACAATACTCATACCACCCCTGTGTCAATTTTAGCCTCTAACACAAGAAAACAATTTTTTCAATAACGTAAATGCGAGTAGGTAGTTACCAGTTTCACCACCAGGTGGCTCGCTCGGGTCAGATAGCATGGCGGGTATAGTAGAAAGTTCCCTTTAACTTAAAATACATCTGTTTTAGTGGTTCAATGTTCATATTGCCCTTATGTTTCGAATAGTTATGCAAATTTAAGTATGTCCAGTAAAAGAAAATGTTGTATGTCCAATACAAGAAAAGATATTTCACTTTTTGTGATTTTGTAATATGGGGTCTATGGGGAATCAACCCGAACAAGAAGTCACATTTTCAAAAAAAGATTAAATTTTCAAAGTTGATAAACAATTTTCGAAACCATATTTTTAGATTTATTTTTACATGTAGATTCGAAATATGACATCACTTTGACTGAATTTTGAATATTTAATGACGTAAATCAAGATCATTTCTACTCGCATCTAGTCTATTGGATGGTGTCATATTGTTAGGAAATTATCTATCTTTAAAATGATACATAATACTAGTACATGGCATGGTTTAAGATATATCATATGAATAATTCATCTTTAAACTTGGGTTTTGTTTTTGGCCCACCTTGTATATTCATGGCTTGTGGTCTCGCGAGTTTCGGAATATACAATTTTATTACTAAACAATCTGATTTAAAATATATAATGTATGTATATACTGAATATACATGAATTTAGCACAACAAAAACAACAAACATATGTGTACTTTTTAAATTTCAAACACGCAAACAGTAAGGGCGAGGTAAGCGTACATTGTAATTTTGCAAATTTTTATATTTCCAACAACTTTACTCAGTGACGTTTACATAAAAAATTCTTGGGTGAAATAATGTCAGTTGGAGCCTTAAACTGTTAAAGGTGAACATGGTAAATAGACTAGATATAACGAGTCTTAAGTCAGGTCCTGCACAAGTGAGGAATCATGGCCTTATTTTCCAGAAATCTGGGTGAAAACAAAATCCATGTATACAGGTAGCTACTAGCTATACCAAGGGTAGCCATTACAAAGTGGGGGAGGGACAAGAACTAAACGCGAAAAAATGTACACTCCCCTCCATAAGATTGGGGCGGGCACAAGAACTAAACGCAAAACAATGTACACTCCCCCCATAAGTCTTTTAGGGGGGGGGGGGCACAAGAACTAAACCCAAAACAATGTACACTCCCCTCCATATGTTTGACAACTAGATGTTTTCATTCTATAGCGTATCACTATGAAAGCCTTTTAATGTTTGAATCTTGATTTTGTTCATTGGTTTCAATAGTTTCATTGTTCTCCCCAAGATTTTTTTCTCAAGTGAGTGCAAAATTCTTGATTTCACAATTAAGATTTTTGGTCAAAATATGCCTATTTTAATGATTTTCCTTATTTTCAAGTGGGTACAAATGGATTTTCAGGTGGGTGCAAGTCTACATTCAAAATCTCAAGTGGGTGCAGTGCCCACTTCCAATGCTGGGGAGATCACTGAGCTTGGATATTCATGACAATTTCAATGAATATCTTTATATCGCAAAACATGAAGAGGATTGACAAGTGATCCAAATCGAAACGTCCGGTTGCCAAACTTATGAAGGGGAGTGTATACTCATTGAATAAATAGAATACTTTGACAAAATGACAGAAAACTACAGAAGAGTTACAGAGTTGCTTTAAAATCCTGTATGTGCATCAATATACTTGTACAATTGAGATTGACCACACAGATTAATCATAATAGTTGTACCCTACCGGACTGCTGTATAAACATTTTGAAACATTCATCATCATATTTTTAGCATTTACCATTGTAGAAACACCTGTTCGTTATACAAATACAGTAGTAGGATGTTCATTGTTGGCTCTGGGAAAATGGCTGTCACGATATACAGTATTGTGGTTGACTCGTTTATTCATAAACATGTATTAACACATGATTCACCACAAAATATGGTTGATAGCAGTACAACCGTGTTATTTTTCTATTAATTCTGTTCAATTTCCCATAAGTGGAATTCTACTTCAATTGCTTATAATTCTGCAACATTAATATTTACAACCAGCCTAAATTGGATGAATGATACTGAATCAAAGTCATAATAAAATTTGGAGTTGTTTGGGAGTGAAACATTTTTATTGATTATTGATTAATGCAAGCCTGTTAATACATGTATGCATTGAGCAATCAACCAAATCAGTTAATTCCTCAATGTTAAGGGAGTTTTGATTTTTTCCATATGCTAAAATTGTTCAAGTCTCAGAGAGATCATCAAATAGTTTTTTAAATGTGTGCAAATCAAATTTTGACCAGAGTCTTAAACTTGAAATTCTTTTGAAAAATATGGTATTGAGAATAATAAGTGCATCAACAGGCTGATCTTGTCACATAAACATACTTGTACATTAGAAATCGATTTTTGACAGAAATTGATCAATTCTAGTGTTCTCACCAAGATTTTTTCTCAAACGGGTGCAAAATTCTTGATTTAATTCACAATTTTCACAAAATATGCCTATTTATCATTTCATTTTTCTCATTTTTAATGGTGCAATGAATTCTCAGGTGGGTGCAAGCCTACATGTATTTTTAAAATCTCAAGTGGGTGCAGTGGGTTCTATTTAATAAATGTTTTCAATGTATTTCATTGAATAGTACAGTTGAAGCAAGGTTTTTAGAAAATTGACCTTTCAAATCATTCTTGGCTATCTAATATTAGTTGATTTGAGCAGTTTTAATCATTCATAATCAAATTCGTTTGAAATGAGTTTTTTGCAGTATTTCATACAACACTATTTTGTCAAAGAATTCCTATAGAAGAAACAATTTCACTATCTTCAAATATTCAGGGCTTCACAAGGAGGATTGGAAGCCAGGGTTCCAACTCGATGTTCTTTAAACTCCAATCGATACTGACTAGTTTCCAATCCTGCCTGTATATCTCTACGGCTGCAAGGAGAATGGCCAATAATCTTGATTGAATTTTGTATTCATATCATGACTATGTCATATCCATATATGGAACAGAATATCGATCAGCGTCCCTGGGAGCCAATCCTCCTTGGGCTTCATTTGAATTTACATATTTAATTGAATAATATGGAGGGGGTTTATGGAACAAATACTAGAATAGTAGATGGGGTGTGCTGGACTATAAGATGGGGGAAAACCATGTTCCAACTCAACTGGCTCTCCTAACATATCATCTAAATAATTGAATAATATATAATCCTTTGTTCAATTTTATTTTATTAAAGGGGCACTATGGATATGTTTAAAAAATTTGAAGTTCAAAAGTAAGTCTTTATTTTGCCAAAGATTGCTAAAAATATGCATAGTATCACTTTAAGCAATTAGATCAATCCTGGATCTATCATTTTTTGGCTTTTTTGCAATGTATCACCAGTTTTAACCTTTTTGGTTTTGACGATTACATGTGTCTCCATATGCACTTTAAGCTGCTGTTTGTACTTGTAGGATTTTGTGCATAATTCACAATTATACTTTCTTTCTTGGTGGACTCTACGATGTGATTTCAGGAGGAGTTTTTTTCCAAATGTACGTTGACAGGTTTCACACTTAAATGTATGTACCTTTTGATGCTCCTTTAAGAGATCTTCACTTTTAAATCCAGAAGAACAGTAAATACATTTATATCCATTTTCTCTGTGCTTTTTAATATGCTCCACTAATCGATCCTTTTTTCTGAAATCTTTCTGGCAGGTGCTACATTTAAATGGTTTCTCTCCCTTGTGGATCATAGTGTGTCTCTTAAGTAAAATATTTGATGTGAAAGTCTTTTCACATTGAAGACACTTGAAATGTCTTTCACCAGAGTGTGTTCTCTCGTGGATATCAATGTTTTGTTTGGACTGAAATGTTTTCTCACAAAACTCACACTTATATGGCTTTTCTCCAGTGTGAACCATCAAATGACGCACAAGTTTGGTGTTCTCTACAAACGTAGCTTCACATTCTTTGCATTTATACAGTCGTATGTTATTGTGCACGTACATAACATGTTTGATCAGGGCAGATGCAAATGTAAATGTCTTGTCACATTTTTTACACATATACGGTTTCTCACCAGTGTGAATTCGATGATGAGCTTTTAAATAATTCTCAAACGCAAAATATTTACAACATATTTCACATTTAAATCTCCCTACGCCTTCCAACATATAATCCTCTAAACTGGCCAAACTACCAGTATCTACTGATGTAGTCTCTTGTCGTTGAATACACACTAGTTGGTGTTCTAGAAGTTCCGCTATATCTTTGCAGCTTTTTCCACACAGTTCGCAAAATTGGCACTTAACTCCGATGTCGTAATCCTTCAAAAATGATGATGCAAAGTTCACCAATGCTGAATCTGCCTGACTAAGTGTTGAGTCACCTGTCGAGAAGATAAGGGAGGACTCCATACTGAAGACTACTGAAATCAATAAGTTATACCACACTTTAAAAATTATATAGACTACATGTAAATAATTCATTTTGTCGGTACATGCCCAATACACAGAGAGCGTGTAGTAAATTCTATCGCAATCTATAGTGTGCCTGTGATGTGAAGACTATCCTCTAGTAAGTCTGAAATTTTTTTGAAATTTGGAATGAAAATGTAAAAATTTGGGATTACATAGGAAGTGACAATATGCTGTGTTACTTTTATAGCATTTAATTGTACTTTACTACTTAATTGAATTGTTATAATGCTTATTTTTTGGAAGTGAAGTTTCCTAAAATTGAGTGTGCAGGAAATTTCCTGTTTTTTTCCCACAGGAGGGACATAATGATCAATAGACTGAATTCTCAGGAAATTCAGTCTATTGGATATAGACTCAGGCCCGTAGCCAGGGGGGGGGGGGGGGGTTCGCAGGGTTCGGGCGAACCCCCCCCTGGCCAAAAATTCTTTAAAAATCATGCAGTTTTTCACCATTTTGAGCACTTCTCTTGTGATTTTAGCCACATTTGGGCCAAAATTGTCAAATGTGAACCCCCCCTGGAAATTTTTGAAAACTGAACCCCCCTTGACAAATCCTAGCTACGGGCCTGAGACTACTGAATTCTCAAGAGAGGGGGGCCAGGGTAGTATGTATCCAACAGACTGACTAGAATTCAGTCTGTTATGATGTACTACTTTCCTGTGGAAATTGCAGTGAATTTTTTTGCACAAAATTATCAATTGGAGGAACCATTTATTCAATAAAATAAACATTACAAAATTTCAATCAAATAGTAAGGTACAATTAAATGCAATAAAAAGTAACACAGCATATTGTCAAGTGGAAATAAAGCTAGTTGAAGTAACAAATGTGCAAATTAATTTTACCCAATCGGCCATTTTGGATAGCACTTCCTATGTAAAAAATATTTAGAATTACCAAACTTTAAGGTCAGGGTGCATGATGGGAAATTTTCTGCATCCTTCAATTGAGTCACATGTTATTTTTCAAACAAGAATCACTCCTTCCCCACATTGTCTACACCTTCCAAGTTTGCACAAAGAGTGCACTTATGTGCCTAGAAAAGACTTGTGAGAAGATTTGTTTTGTAAAATGTATAAAAAACGAGAAAATTCAGTGAAAAAAATTTCTGAAAATTTTCTGAATTTTTTCACTGAATTTTCTTGTTTTTTATACACTTTATCAAAACATTCTTCTCACAAGTCTTTTCTAGGCACATAAGTGCACTCTTTGTGCAAAAGTGAAAGATATAGACAATGTGGGGAAGGAGTGATTCTTGTTTGAAAAATAACATGTGACTCAATTGAGGGATACAGAAAATTTCCCATCATGCACCCTGACCTTAACATAGGTGCCTTATAGTCTGAATATAATTCAGACTAAATAGGATATAGTCTAGGGGGCAGGGGCTAGACTGTATCCTTCGTCTGAATAAATATTCAGACTGTAAGTCACCTATTGTAAAATGTGGTGTTGTATAAATGTTACAAATAAGTTTGTTTAATGATAAAATGATTACCTTATAAAGAACTCACAATATTATTTTTTCGTATATTGTCCTCTTACTGAAGATATTCATAAAATGTACAGACGCTTCTTGTAGCGAAGCCATTGATTAGGTCAAGCCATTTTGGCAATGCCAATTCTCACGATAAACGAGATTTAGCCAGTGACGTCAGTCTATTTGTAAACAAATAACACGTGGAGCCGGAGCAACATTACGGAAGCGTATTGCTAAATTCCATTTGTGCGGGAATTTATTAGATCTAGTCATTTATTATCATTATCCCGATTAATTTTCTTCATTTATAGTAAATAGAGCGGAAATATTCATGAAGAAGGCCGAGGTAATCAAGTGGTCATGTGTTGTCAAAGTTCAAAATTTGCATATCTCGTTTGGATCTCGTGAACTCAAACGTCCTTGACATTGATTTCGCGATGTACTTATAAACACATCCTGAAGTGTCGGTGAGTCTGAACATTTCATTATTTTATATCAACTTGTACCCGCCTTATACAAATATGTTTGCTTCTAGTTTAAGATGAACATCTCTTCAACATATTCACCAATTTTCAAGGTGAACATTCTTATAATAAACGAGAAATTAATGTGCAAAAAATATCACCGCGATTTCCATAGGAAATATATCAATCATAACAGACCGAATATTATATTCGGTCTGTTGGATACATACTAGGGCAGGGGCTCAAGATATTCAGTCTGTTGGATATATACTACTGTGATGTGAGACTGCATCTTGATTCACCAGGTTTCAGTTGCTCCAACTTATAACACTTTGGAAGTCGAAGATGGAGACTAATATTGAGAATCAAGTGTCACAATCGTGACATCAAATAAAAAAAATCCTCTATATTGAGAATATGTTTTACAGTTTATACGTGCATTTTATCTTGTCAAACGTTTCACAAATTTAATTTCTTACCTTTATAAGTATTTTGGTGAACAGATGATATCTCTTTCTTTGTATTTACTCTGTATTTTAACTATTTACAAGTACATTTATATAAATTTGGACATTCAGCCGACGCGTTTTGAAAGCGATGTTTTGATTGGCTGTTTATTTTCAACTCTCCACTCTTCTTACAAGTATTTTCATTGGTTTATTTAAAGCGGCTATTTCAAATTTACTAAAGTAATCAATGTGTGTTTTAGATTCTGATTTGTATCATTCGTAGGAGGAAAGCCCTTCGAATACATCACATAGCATGAATACAAAGATGTTGGCAAGATCGTTTTGTAGTACGATCTCATAGGCTCAAAGAATGATACAAAAAAAAATTCTGCCATCTGTGGAGGCTAGCCAACTCCCGGGGGGGGGGGTACTCCCCCATATATTGGCTATATGGGGACGTGCCGTTAAAGTGGGTCACTTTTCGCCGAAAAATCCCTAGATGTGGGTCCTATTTTGAAGAAAACACCTGAATAAAATGGGTCCTATTTTGATGAAGAAATCCCTAGAACTGGGTCTACTTTTTGAAAAAATCGCCGGAAAGGGGTTTTGCTTTTTAAAAATGACCTTGAAGTGGGTCTATTTTTGAAAGAAAACCCCGATGTGGGTCCATTTTTAGAGAAAAAATCCCTAGATGTGGGTAGATATTTTGAGTCTCAGCGGCACCCCCCCCCCCTGTACAAAAATTTGACCAGTACCCCCAACCCTCGGGAGCCAACTTCGCATGGAGTCTATTAATATATTGTATAGTTTCTTCTTTGCAACATGCCATGCCATACACCGGGTGACACGCAATTTACAAAACTAATACATTGGTAATCTATCTATTTTAATATGCGTTAAACCATAGCCAGGAAATTAAATTTGTAAAATCATTGTTATTAATCTACGACGGATGTTCATTGTCTGTAGATCTTTAATATTGAATCTAGATGATATCCAAAGGAAATTAAGGCCACCAAAATAAGGTAGCCTACAGGTCTAAGGGTTACGTAAATAACAGCCCCATTATTTAGTAATTCGGCTGATGATTGCTGTATGTCCAAAAGCTCATATTTAATAGTGTAGCCTTTATTTATGTCATACGGGATCCCATCATGTTATGTTAGCCTAAACTTCGCATTCTAAGAGTGGATATTCTTCATTGGTAAAGTTATATGCAATACCACATTCAAATACAGAGAATTTCACGCTTGATGAAGTTATGCAATACCATCCCAATTGAAAAAAGCCTATGGAAAATCATCTCCAATTATCACCTAACTTACTATTGATAATTAGTTGAAAGTTAGGTGTAAAAATTCACATGCAAATGAGCTAATTATCAACTTAATTAACGCTTAATTTGCAACTTAATTAACGATTAACTACCATCAATATGCAAATGAGCTATTTACGTAAATTAGTTGAAAGTTAGTTGTAAGTTTGATGTAAGTTAATCTCTAATTATCACCTAACTTACTATTGATAATTAGTTGAAAGTTAGGTTTAAAGTCAGATTTGTGACATCTCAAAAATGACTCGCTTCTTTTTTGCTTCCCTTCACTCGGAGATTTTTGCTTCATCTTGAACTATTTTGTGACGAAATATTCATCTTAATTAGGATCTTTCAGAACAGACAACATTGAACTTGAACTATTGAAATTTCACAGCAAGAGGAGGAAAAACCCCATGATTCAATTGATGACATAAGATTTCCTCCTTCGCACACCTCTTTTTGTCGAAAACGTACCCTCCATCTTGGTTTTTAAAGTTTTCAAATTGACCTAGATTTAAACCAATCAACGATCGACTCGCCAAACCAATCAGCGACGATGTCATCTCAATACAGATTTACATTATAAGCGTTTGTCATCTTTGAACCCTGGGGTTTCTCCCCCTCTTTTTTAATTCTATTTTGCAAATTTTTAAGATTCATGAAAAGCATGTGAAAACATCATTATTGTCATCAACAACTAAAATCAGAACACAAACATTAATGTTACATAATAAGGACGTAACAGATATAATCAAAAATATGTTTTGAAATGTCTTTGATCTAACAATCATTATTTAGAAGAGCACATTTGGATTACTTGTGAAATATAGGTAACCCATGTTATTACCTAAATTGCATTCTAGGATTAATATTATATGATCTGATTCAAAAAGATTTTTAAATTCATAAACATTTCAGACAGAAGTGTGAATAAGATTTAACATACATTGTATTCATGTTCTACATACCCTTATAATAATGTTGACCAAATTTCATGGTAGTATACGCACCATTCACGTTGTAATTCTCAATTTTATGAGAGAAATATCTCTCACATGTTTTCTTTTTCCACCATCTTGAAATTAAATTTAGGGGGTTTGTATTTCTAAATCATGGGCCTAATTTACGACTAATTATCATTATAATCATCCTATATGTTAACTATCAACCAATAATCTACTTCAGACCAAAATCGTTTTAATTTACCACTTACTATCACCCTCAAACATTTCATATCTTAATTATCAACTAAAAATCATAAATCAGCATTATTGTAAGTTAATTTACGTTGAACTTGCTACTGATAATTAGGCCATAATTATCATTGATTTAATTAACGCTTAACTTTAATTCCAATTGCCAGCAGAATTGTTGATAATTAGT